CAACTTTTGTGATTCAAGAATTGCATTTCAAATAATTCAAGAGTCTCAAGATATTCTAATTATAATATTTACCTGCAAATCGAGATGAAAGAAAAGAATGTGGAGCTATTATGAAGAATCTAGCTCTATCAGCTGAAACGCCAAGAACATCATAGGCCAAGTGCCTGCCATCAGGAAGAAGTGTGCGAGAAGCACTAGGAGGATGATCACGCACCTTCATAATCGGTCGGCTAAAGCTCTCGTGTCTGTTATTTACCCAGATTACTGCAAATAATAGTTAATTATTGCATCAGAGCTCTTTATCGAGTCAAGAAAATACCACAGTTTCACGATTACCACTCATAACATACTTGCCGGTACCACTAAGATTAAAATCAAGATGAAAGATTACAAGATCTCCGCTCAATATTTGGTATGAAATAATCAATAGGAGAAATGTTTTAGTTGAAGCAACTTACAAAGAAAGGGTACTGTAATCTTCTGAATCAGAAATCATCAGAATGAAAAAGGGAAAAAAAGTTTAAAATCTGAACACACCTGTGAATGCGAGAATTGAAACAAAAAATATAACCGGCCAAGCATAAACGGGGTCGCGATCCTCCGGCAAAAACTCGTTAAGAAAACTCAATCTAGCAATAACATTCGCGCAAGGTCCTCTAAGCTTTTGAGCAACATATGAATCCTCAGTAATCAAATTCTGCTGCACAATGTCCCTACACCCTCTCCCTAATTCAAGAAGAATTTCACCCCATGCGACCGCAAATCCCTTAACCTGATCCTTCAAACTCTCCGACTCCTCTGATTCATAGTTCCGCGACTCGACCTGGAAATCCGATCTCGTACTCTCATACGAAGGTGAAGAAATTCCGATCGGCTCCGCCATGTAACGGATCCCGGAATCCTCCACCAAACTTCCAAATTCTTCGCTCCATGAGCTCGATCCTCTGATTTCCGACATCGGCAACTGAATACTCACTCCTTCAACCACTTCAGAGACATCAAACTCCGTCCAGCTACAGTGAGTGTGCCCACAGAATGTCTATAGCGTCAGAGTCACACATTCATCTATATATATATCGAGAGAGAGAGAGATTGTTCGTGTGAATTTGTGCTATGCTTTAAGCGGAAAATTCCAGTGTAATAATGTCAAACCATCATATAACAGAACTAGAATCAATACTTTACAAGCGTGATAATGGAATCTCGTTTGTTCAACCACGTAAAAACCCTAGCCGAAACCGACCACCATTCAAAAGGAATCAAACTAATACACAAAACAATAAGCAATAAGAAAATACTTACTCAGAGATAAAGCCAAAAGCATCTCTGTTCTATGCTTAGCTTTCACTTTCCGACACTAAAATTTGCTGACCCTCTCTCCCCCCCCCCCCCCCCCCCCCCCCC